TAATATTTCATTAAAGAAAGTTCATCAATTAAAAAAAAAAAGAATTAGTGTTTGCTTCGGGAGCACATATACTAAATTGAAACTAAAATTGGAACGATACAGAGAAGATCAGAAAGAAAAAGAAAAATACCGGATGGTCTCACTCATAGCAGGAATTTAGAAAACCTAAATAAGAGACCAGGAAAAAGACTAACCAATATAAAGTAATAATCAAAATCAACAAGCAACTACAAACAAGAGACACACTACGGGGTGGGGGGGGGGTTGGGGGGGTGGAGGAGGGAGGGGCTGGAAGAGGAAGAACTAGAGTCAAAATAAGGGGGGGGTGCAATTGAATGGGGAATATAACCAAAATGAAAATGCATACATTGTGCAAAGATGAAAAATGATGAAGAATTATATAAAATAAAATATTAAAAAAGAATTAAGTTCTTTATATCTGTATAAATGTTCTTTTATTATTTTGGCAATTTCTCCCCTTCATTCTCTGTTATCTATCTAGCTCTGTTACTTATTATTGGGCATTCTTGATCTATTTTCTGTGTCTTCTTTTGGTCCATGTATTAAATTTGTTTGTTCTTTTTTAATCTCAGGGATATTTTCTTAATTCAATTATAATATTTCTATTATTTTTCCACTTTTTAGCCTCCTATACATATCTTTATAGATACAATATCTTGTCACTGAAAATTTTAATTAAAAAGATTATAAATTTCTTGTTTGCTCTTATATGAACTTCCTCTACTAAATCTGGTAATTTTTATTTTCTTTTTCATATTGCAAGATTTTTTTCAAACATTTTATCTGTCCTCTGCAACCTTGCTCTTCACTTACTATACACCATCTTATTTCCGCTCACACTTATGCAAGTTTCCTCTTAAATCCACCAAATTATATCTGATTTCTGTATAATATTCTTTCCATTACCTTGTTCTTTTTCTTTTTAAATTCTTCAGAGTTTGTAATTGTGTGTCATGTAAGTATTTTGTATGCATATATTTTCTCCCACTGGAGTGTGAGTTTTTTGAAGACAATGTATGTATCTGCGTTCACATTATTTTATACATTCAGAACATAGTATGGTATATCACAAAACTGGTACTCAATGACCATTTTTGCATTATTGATTGAATTAGTAAATAGAGTAACAAAGTTTGGTGTTTAGTTCAGCCAAAAATAAATTGAACATTGCTCTGCTTTCCTTTGATGTTATTACTTGTTACATACATACTTCTTAGGGTTACATTTCTGAATGTGTCTTTACTTATATTTCCTTTTGGCTTCCTTGAATACTTAAAAATATTTGCATTATGGAAAATTTCAGCTATATATGTAGCAGGGAGTATAGTACCAAGTATGAGAAGACCAGCTTTAACAATGATCAATTATGGACAATTTTGCAAACTCATTCACTTAGTAATATATACATACAGGAGTATGTTTTTTTTTTTTAAATTTAACTCTTCATTGTGGAAGTTTCAAATTTACAAAAAGTGGTACAATAGTACAGAGCTTCATTTACCCTTTATCCATCGTCCCCATATGTTAACATTTTATATAATCATAGCACAATTACTACAGTCAGGTTAATAACATTTAAAAATGGATAGTCTACATACATTTTATTGAATTTCTATCAATTGACCACTAATACCATTTCATTTGTATTTCAGAACAACCCTGTGAGGTAGGTGTCCGTATTTCTTTCCATTTTGTAGATCAGAAATCTCACCCTCAAGATCCTAAGTTTTACAGAATTTCAGGTCTTTCAGTTCAGATCTTCACTGGCAAAATTTCTCTAACAGAGAAGCTTGCATTAGAAATGAGTCTGAACCAATATTTCCTGAAGTGTGTTCTTTAGACCACTAGTCTTTTTGTTGATTCATAGCTCCTTCCTTCCGACTTAAAGATTTAGAAAGTATGTTGTCATTGTCCAAAAACAATTTAGGAATCCTATGTAAAGAAACATTTTTTCACCCAAAATTTTCCCCAAACTATTAAAGCATGAAAGAATTTTGCCTGCAATAACTATTTACATCATACAGGACCAATTCTTTAGTCAACCCACTAGTAAATGCTGATAGAATCATCATGACTTCCACCAAAAAAAGGATTTGAGAAGGTAAAGATGCATTTGTGGTTGACTTATTTAAGTATTCTGATGAATTTCTACTTTGCCATATTTTCTAAACAAACAAATATATATATAAATATATATATCACCAAGCTAATACAATGTGAATTTTTATACTAAATTTGCATTTATTCCTCCCACAGAGAATGGATTTGCCTCACATTAGCAAAGCAAATAATTAGCTGCTCAGTTTTGAGAGGAAATTGGATGCCTTTGGCCTTCTTTTTTTTTTTTTTAATAAATTCTCTCTTTTTTTTTAAAGATTTATTTATTCAAAACTGGGATGCAGGCCAGAAGTGTGGGAGGGTGATAGGATTCACCAGAGACAAAGCGGGGAACAGAACAGGCAGATGGACTGAAGACACTGCTAAGGGGAGCAGTGGGAGAGACAGGAGAGGTCTGCTATGCCATGTGGGCATCTCCCTGGCTGGCCAGGAGTCGAACCCGCACTGCAGAGGCTGCAGACAGCTTCACAGTGCTGTGCTCAACCCACTGTGCCACCAGCGGAGGCCCTCCTTTGGCCTTCGAAATTCTATGAATTAATTGATCTATGTATTTACCTTATAGCATCACCAATGTCTCAGCAAACATTTGAGCGGAGAGCATAGAAGGTGCTGGTGATACCCTGTCAGTTTTTTGGCCTCTGAGAAATGGGAAGACAGCAGGCACTTGGAAAACAAATAATATGTAGTGGCTTTTGCTGAGTGCCAAGGTGGTACCTATAGGGTCCCATGGCCAAGTTCTCTGCTCTTCACTCTTACCAATGCCCAGTTTAAACCTCTTATCAATGAGAAGGGTACTAGGAGTTTGGGACATAGAGGAGTATTTTGAAGATAATCTTAGAAATCATATGATTTCATTTGCAAATATTTTATTATGAAAATCTAAATATAATGAATTTTTAGAAACATAGCAATGTCATCAGTACAACTAGAATTAGGTAAATAATTTCTTAATGCAGCAATGTTTAATTTTTCTGATTGTCTCACAATAATTTCTTAGTTGGTGTTTTATTTAAATATACATCCAGACAAAGCTTAGTATTAGGTTGATAGTTTTCTTCAGTTCTTAAAAGATGTGGTTTTTCAGTCCTCTATTTTTTTTGTAAATTATTTGTTGAAGAAATGTGACTTTTCAAATACAACTTTTAAATAGTATTATATTAACTGTTAATATAATATTATTATATTATAATATTGTTCACACAGTCTGAAACAATTAAAGTATATCCTCAAAGAACTTTTTTAGAAGATAAATTAAATTAATGATGATGAGTAATGCACAATTTCATTTACAGTAATGCCATACAGTGAGCCTACTTTTAATTTTTTGCTGATACAATGAAATTATTGTTCTTTTTAAAAGTTAATTTTAATTCAACTACCATTAAATTTGTTTTTCGAAGTGAGAAAGAAATATATGTAAGTCAGCATTTGTTTATTTCTGGGATACTGGTCATAATATGTGATGTGACTAACTGGGAAACTTCACAGTAACAAAGAATTGAAACACCACAAACACACAATAGCAAGAACAGGCCAGCTCCAGGGAGCAAAGGCACAAGGATTAAAAAAATAAGCTAGCTCCAGTCAGTAGGGGAGCAGACCTGAGGAGTTTATGCAAGGACAGATAAGAAGCAAAATAGCTCCCAAGCAGGAGGCTTCCCAAAAGGGGTTGCTGTTGCTGAAAATAACATCAAAGTTTTTATAGTCATGCTCATGTTTTGGGTCTAAGGTATGAGCTGTGGTGGTTGTGCAGCTTCTTGATTGGTCAACCTTGGCTGATGTCCTAACATAGATTAAATGGTGATTTTCAACAAAGTGTTTTGATTTTCTTCCCTGCTATTGACTTTCCCTCCCACCTCTATTATGTCTCCTGGGGTCCCAGTCTGTCAAGGTGTAACCCCTCAATAATGCCATTAATATAATCATCCTATTTCCCAGTGTCACATCTAAATGACTGAGTTCTTGACCTCATGAATTATTGAAATTTACATAAAATTTATTCAAAGTTCTATTGCCATAGTCTTTGCACTGAAATATAAATTTTTACAATTGGGATCATATCTGTTCACAATTTCACTTTTTTTAAAAAAATACACTTTATAGTAGAGTAATTTCAAGTTCATAGCAATACTGAGCAGAAGATACATAGATTTCACATATATTCTTGCCGCACCCATGTATAGCCTTCCTACTATCAACACTTCCTATCAGAATGTCACATTTATTACAACCGATGAACCTACATTGACATGTCATCACCACTCAAGGTCCACAGTTTACATTAGGGTTCTCTTTTAAAGTATGTTCAATGGGTTTGGATAAATACATAATGACATGTATCTACCATTATAGTATCATACAGTTGAATCATCCTAAAAATCCTCTGTATTTTGTTACTTACATTTTATGATCACCTAGTTTGAATTTTTAATCTTACTTCTACCTCACAGGTAGCTTTTTCTCCTTAAATCTTCTCTAGCTCCTCCCCTAAGTAAACATGAACAAAGATCTGTTGCATATAGCACATCTTGTCTAAAAATTATGTGCCACAAGAGGGCTCATATTTTTATTGAAGAGTAAAAACTCAAAATCAAATATTATAGCTTATTTCTCTAAGAGTTCTCTTAGTAACTCTTACACTAATGATATGTTGCTGACTACTAGACCCGATCTATTTTCTCAGCCTAGCCCAATCTCAGATTCTCTGATCTGGAAAAATATCTTCAATTGACATATGAGAAGAAATTCATCCATGGCTCTATGTTTGATTCATTAAAGTGCTCAGAAAAATTGCAGTGTTTTTCACATACTATCATCCATTCTTTTTCATAAATTAATTACATGTATAACTAACAATGTTTTCTTCTATATTTTTATATTGTTTAAGTCACTGCCTACATAATGAGATTATTCAAATTCTGCAAGGAAATTTGCTCTGCAATGAATATATCATTACTTTCACATTATGAGTGAGAAAAATATGACTCAGTGTTTCAAAGGTCAAGATAACTCCATGTCAAGTCACATATACTCTCAAGATTGAGGTTTTAGGAAAATCAGTGAATCCCAGCTGTTGATGCATTTCCTCTGCAGTGGTTTCTACTAGGAGGCAGTGAATTTATAGGAGGATGCAGCATTCATAGTCATCATTGAGCTATTTTAACTGGTTGTTCCTCCTGAGAGTCTCTCTAATAGGGTCAAGCATCCTTAGCAAGAAGTGAGAGGCAGAAATACTGGGATGTTCTGCTGTTCCCCATGCCAAGCAGGGATGCATGGGGACATGGGGATCTTGATTTAGTCTTTTCTGCCTAGGGATACCCTGCAGCCATATTCACTGTACTGTCTCTGACATGCCATGGTGGCACAGGAAAAGTCTGAGTAGTTAACCTAGGAGGAGTTCACCTTGAAGGTCAAGCAAAGTATATTTATGTTTTAGGGACCTTACATATATCTGTGCTTTCTACTCTATTCCTTTTCCCACTATTACTAGCTGTGTGTGAGAACTAAGTGTTTGCTCCTTTATAGATATCTATGTATTTGTCTCCTTCTGAAGTTCTCCAAGTGACTCTATTTCTTTTCTTGTTTAAAATTTTTATCTTAAAGGCCTCCCCGGTGGCGCAGCGGTTGAGCGCTGGGTTGTGAAGCTGCCCACAGCCTCTGCTGCCCCCGCCTCTGCAGTGCCGGTTCGATCTGCCGCCAATGGGGAGGGTCCCACATGGTGCGCAGACCTCTCCTGCCGCCCGCTGCTCTCCTCAGCAGTGCATTTTGTTGGTCTGCCTGTTCTGTTCCCCGCTCTGGCTCTGGTGAATTCTCTCACCCTCCCATGCTTCTGACTGTACCCAGTGCTTGTATAAATAAATGAATAAAAATCTTAAAAAAAAATTTTTTATCTTAAGTGTGAGGAGAGGGAAGCTTCTATTATCATCATTTGTTCTTAACAAATATAAAGTCTGGAAGAAATTTAGACTTTAGTACTTTTGAGATTCAAAATTCTCATCTAACATTTCTCTGTCATAACTTTTAAAACCTATAATAAAATGAGAAAATATTTATTTCATTTTTTTTAATTTTTCTGCTATAGTAATTCCACATGATGGGAAAATGTATATATTATCTTCATTGATGTCTGAATTAGGTGAGTGTGTATAGTGGCCAACAGTGTGAACCCAAGAATGATTGAAATATAACCCTCAGCTACATATTAAATATCAGGTACCATTTGGTTGTTTCTGTGCTTCTGGGTATAAAATATGATTTAGAAAACAAGATTAAATGATACTGAAGCATAAGAGGTCATGATGTTAGTCAGTCCTGAGATGAATGGTAAAATATTCAAGTTAACACTTCATAAAGAGGGATGTATTGCTTCCGTGGAGGTACTGGAGCTGGATCTCTTAGGATTAGGTACTGGGTTGAATATCCCAGGGATCCCATAGTAGATAACAATTGAGAATAGAAAAAATAAAACCCAGGCAGTCAGGGAGAATTCTGAGGGGTATGTGGACTATCAAGAGATAGCATCTTAAGCCCCAGAGAAGAGGTGAGAGGAGTGTTGGAGGAGAAAATAAATATGATGAACTAGGCCAGAAAATAGTACTTGGTCATCTAGCATGCTCATTCTTCTCTCTTGTAGATGGGCGGTGCACCTGCAATAAGACAGACATGAGATCAACAAATTCAGAAGGGTTCCTGTGCCATAGTCATGCCATCATCATGCCCTTTCCCAGTTCTCCAACTTTTCAAACACATTTGAGTCCATATCCTCCTTTTACTTTCTTTCTCTTGTACTGTGACTCTGACTTTCAGCACTGACAAATGTTTAATCTTACCTTCTAGGTGTGACTCACAGGGCCTTTTGTGTCTGGAGGCCCCACCTGAGCGCAGACCTTGGATGATGAGGATGGTTCCCACCACAATGCCCACGAGGCCCATGACCAACCCAAGGGCACAGACCACAGTCTCTGTCAGCTCCAAAAGAGGGGTTGGAATCTCAGGTTCTGTGAAATGAAGGTGTCAGAGTCAGAGTGCTGTGTTGGTCTATATACCTGTGTGTGGGGAGGGGCGGGTAGGTTGTGCTGGTTCTACAAGGACTCAGGGCACAGGCTTCATGAGGAGAATGAAGTCAATCATTAAAATCCTTTAAGTGTAGAGGCGGAGCAACACGGCGGCGAGGAGACGCTGCGAGTAAGATCTCCCATTAAAAAAAAGTTAATAGGGAGGAAAAGCGGCAGGTCCCAGAGAGAACTGGGACACGGAAGATAAATGGAGGACTCCAGCAAACTACCCGAAGAAGAAAGTGGCCATGAAAGAGGACTAGAAGGGATAGGAGCAACATGGCGGCGAGGAGACGCTGCGAGTAAGATCTCCCATTAAAAAAAGTTAATAGGGAGGAAAAGCGGCAGGTCCCAGTGAGACCTGGGACATGGAAGATAAATGGATGACTCCAGCAAACTACCCAAAGAAGAAAGTGGCCATAAAAGAGGACTAGAAGGGAGGAAAGCGCAGAACTCTGCTCCCCTCCCCCACCCACAGAGTCGGCACTCTCCGACCAGCAGAGAGGAGGGAAAAAAAACAAACTAAAATGACCAACAAGAACAAACTATGCAGCAAGCGGGACTGTGAGTGGAAAGGAACTATTGCAGCCACCACACCCCGTGAACGGGAGCTGTGGAGAACCCTGCAGGATTCGCTGCAGCGGTGAGCGAATGGCTCCGGGCGCCATTAGAGAACAAAGAGACTCTGGAGGAGACCCGCACACAGCCCAGGGCTGGCCGGTAAGCTTGCATGGAAAAGCAGCGCGGCACGCTTGAAAAGCAAACGCGGATCACTGCTGCCCAGGTCCCCGCACCTGCGACCTAGGCTTACGGGGAGATGCGCAGGGACTCTCACTGAGGTGGAAACCCCTCACTGAGTAATCAGGAACCAGGCACCCAGGCACGGGAGCTGGGTGCAAAAGACTCCATTTTTGCGGACACTGAACTGGGCTACAGCCCGCGTCTTGGACCTGAGGGCTTTGGAACTGAGACCCGGGGCATGAAATTCGGGGCGTAGGTTCTCCACGACGGTGGGGCACAAGGCAGACACACCACCGCAAAGCTGTTGAGGTTTACCCTACCATTCCCGCTCTGTTCCCTGTCCCACTGGGTGGAAAAATCAGCTCCCCAAGGGCTCTAGGAGAGATCTCTGGCGCCACCTAGTGACTTGAAACGAGCAGAAGGCTCCTGGAGGTGCCAGTGGCCAGCTGGGAAGTTAGCCCACGACAGGCCCCTTCCGACCAGTAGTCTGAGACAACAGGGGGAGCGAGCACCCACAGCCGGGCAGACCGGGCGTGCAGAAGAGTGTGCCCGAGACCGGACGCGCAGGGAGTGTGCCCCGCATCGCCATTTTAGAACAGGGACATTTCTTCAGTAAAGACTGCCTGCAGAAGGCTCCCTAAGGAGCCAGAGGTGAGGGGGAAGCTCGCCCATGCCAGGCCCCTTCTGGACTGCAGTCCAAACCCAGAGGGGGAGCGGGAACCGACCGCCGGGGCAGACCAAGCACACAGGGGAGTGTGTCCCCACATCAGCATTTTAGAACAGGGACCTTTCTTCAGTAAAGTCTGCTTGAAACAGACAGATGGCCCCTGGAGGAGCCAGAGGGGAGCAGAGAAGCTCACCCAAGATGCCAGCCAGTCCCAGCAACACAGTGTCCCAATGCATAAGACAAATTAGAAAACAGAGAGTAGGGAGTAGAAGAACCACACGCAACCTAACAACTCCTCAGGAAAAAAGCACATCACAAAAAGTAAACCACCCCCCAGATTGCAACGACAGTAACTTGGAAGAACTTCTGAGCATTCCAGAAAGAGAATTTAAAATTGCCATGATTAAAAAACTGACAGAAGTCATAAAGGAAAACAATGATCAGAAGAAGGAAATTGAGTCCCTAAAGAGGGAAAACAATGGTCAGAAGAATGAAATTGAGTCCCTAAAGAGGGAAGCAAAAGAAACGCAAGAGATCAAAGAATTAATGGAGGAACTAAAGAACTCTGGGAAAAGCAATGAAAGCAGAATAGATGAAATGGAAGAACGAATAAGTACTCTTGAAGACACAGAAATAAAAAGAACCAAAACAGAAAAGGAAAGAGAAGTACGAAGGAAAAAGAACGAAGAAAGACTTCGGGAACTATCTGAATCCACGAGGAAAGGAAATATAAGAGTTATAGGAATTCCAGAAGGAGAGGAGAGAGATGTAGGAACAGAGAAAATATTCAAAGAGATAATTGAAGAGAACTTCCCAAATGTGAAGAAGGAGCTGAAAATTGGTATATAAGAAGCAAGAAGAACACCAAACTTCCACGATGAAAGGAAAAATACAGCAAGACACATAATAGTAAATCTCCCAAGAATCCAGGACAAGGAAAAAATAATGAAGCTGACAAGAGGGAAGAAACAGATAACATTCAAAGGAAAACCAATCAGACTGACATCAGACTTCTCTGAAGAAACACTACGGGCAAGGAGAGAGTGGAGGGACATAGTCAACAGACTCCAAGAAAACAGATGCCAACCAAGAATACTCTATCCCGCAAAGCTCTCCTTCCTCTATGAAGAAAGAATAAGGACCTTCCCAGACAAAGAGAAACTCCGGAATTTCATTACGACTAAACCCCCACTCCAAAAAATACTACAAGGAATCCTAAAGCCAGAACCTCAGAGGGACGAATAACAACGAAAGAAGGCAAAAAAAAAAAGATATTAAAAGAATAAATAAATAAAATCAAAGGAAAGACAAACCATCTCACACCAGTGAGAATGGCACATATTAAGAAAACTAGCAACAACAAATGTTGGCGAGGGTGTGGAGAGAAAGGAACTCTCCTATACTGCTGGTGGCAGTGCAAACTGGTCCAACCACTATGGAGAGCTGTGTGGAGATTTCTGGACCTACTAAACATAGAGCATCCATATGATCCAGCAATTCCACTCCTAGGTATTTACCCAAAGGACACAGAAACATCAATTCCAAAGAACACCTGCACCCCTATGTTTATAGCAGCACTGTTTACAATAGCTAAGCTTTGGAAACAGCCCAAATGCCCAAAAATAGATGAATGGATCAAGAAGATGTGGTACATATACACCATGGAATATTACTCAGCATTTAAAAAAGATAAACACATGCAATTTGCAGCAACATGGATGGCGCTGGAAGGGATCATGCTCAGCGAAATAAGCCAGAAAGAAAAAAGAAAAATACCGGATGGTCTCACTCATAGCAGGAATCTAGAAAACTTAAATAAGGGACCAGGAAAATGAATAACTATAAGAAAGTGAAAATCAAAATCAACAAAAAACTATGAACTAGAGACACTTTTTGGGGGGTGGGTGGCGGGAGGGGAGGGATTGGGGTCAGAAGGGGGGCGTTGCAATTGTATGGGGAATATAAAAATAAAATTTATTATTTAAAAAAAAATAAATAAAAACTTAATGCAATATAAAAAAAATCCTTTAAGTGTATAAAAAGCTTTGGGACTTTAGATTTATGGGATAAGAGACAGAAAATTCTGAACTTGACAGAGAAGAGAAGATACCAAAAGGGAAAACTCATACCCCAGTGTTTCAGGAGTGGCTCCTCCAGGCCCCAGTGCTCCACCTTGCAGTCAAAAATGTCATCATCAGAAGGGATGAAGGTGAGGTAACTCATCTTGGAGAAACTGTGATCACTTTTAGGAAGGAAGCTGGTTTCAGACACACCCTCTGTGACTGAGTGCCCATTGACCAACCATGAGATGTTGATCTCAGGAGGGAAGATGTTGTCCACAAAACAGATGAGGATGTTGGGCTGAGCCAGCGTCACTGGAGACTTGGGGAACACAGTTACCTGGGGAACCTCTGTGGTGAGGAAACAGACTGGCATGAATTGCAAATTGCTCTGCCTTGAGGTTCTGCACTGCATCCTGTAGAACTCTTCCCACTACTGTTTCCCCATGTGAGAATGGAAGAGCGGTTTCCCTTCTGCTTGGGAAATGCTATATTATATGATCTGCGATTTACCCCATACCCTTCCCTCTGGGTGTACTTATTAGGATAAGAGGTCTTGGGATTCCTTTTTTCCTTTTTTTTTTAAAGATTTATTTATTTATTTATACAAGCAATGGGTACAGTCAGAAGTGCGGGAGGGTGAGAGAATTCATCAGAGCCAGAGCCGGGAGAAGAGCAGGCAGAAGGACCGAAGTACACTGCTGAGGGGAGCAGCGGGCGGCAGGAGAGGTCTGCGCGCCATGTGGGACCCTCCCCAGGAGGCCGGGGAGCAGCCGGGATCAAGCTGGAGCTGCAGAGGCCGCGGGCAGCTTCACAACCCAGCGCTCAACCGCTGCGCCACGGGGGAGGCCCGGGATTCCTTTTTGAAAGATCAAGGAATGTGTTATAGAAGTAAGAATCCTTTCATTACACGGAAATACATGGTTTGTGAGAGAGGAGAGAATGAGGGTTCAGTAATTACTATGGGAATATCTTGGGACTCTGTGGAAAGGAGTTTTATACAGCAGTGAATGATTGATTATCTCTAAGGAAGTAGGGAGTAAGACCTTGTATGAAAGGGTATAGTCAACAGAGACAGGCAGAGAGGAGACACATACCACTGGTAGCAGCAGTAAAGTTGGAATATTTAATCATGATGTCTAAGTTGTATTTTGACATAGCTATGTTTATCAGTGCACGCTGTGGGTCAAAACTTGCAAATTTGCTAAACTCCGGCAGCCGCCAGACAGTCTCTTTCTTCTCCAGGTCCACGTGGAACAACTCATCTTCATCAAATTCGTGGGTGTACTGGCCAGAGGGACCATAAGACTGGTAGACATCTGCACCATAGATGCCCACGTGATCAGCTGACAAGTGAGGTTGAGGAATAGGAAGGTGAAAAACACAGAGAAAAGAACCTTATTAATTATTAAACAAAGTGTCATGAGACACTGACTTTTCAATATTGTGGGTTCTATCTTTGTCAATCTCTAGACAAAATTCCAGCACCTGTTTCCTCAGTGTTGGCATTGCCCAGTTAGAATCCAGCTTGTCTTTCCACTAGAACATATTCCTCATGAGGGCAGAACCCCTCAGGCATTGCTCACTGCTGTTCCCTGTACATCTGCTTCAGTTCCTGGTACACAGTATCCATATGGCAAGGATTGTAATGATATAAAAGAAGGAATGAATAAATTATCATGGTTTTAACTTTCTATCCCAGAGATTAGGTTTACTTCTCTCTGATTCATAAGTTTGCTCTCTCACTTCACAGTTTAAGCAATTAAAATCCTTATGTTCCTCTCTCCTCAGGACTGGTTCAGATCTCATTTTCTACAAAGAAATTTTCTACAAAGAGTTTTCCACAAAGAATTACTTCTTTTTTTTAACCAAGGAAAATTATACCAGATATTATAATTTTAAAGCATTTCCTCTATTTACAGAGTATAAGAAAGATTATGACAAGGACAGTAATAATAGTATAAAGTATATAAAATGTAAACAATGCTTCTCAGGTCTGTTTTGTTAATAGTATGACTGTTAAAGAGGAGCAATTAATTACTTATGAAATAAAAAACAAACAAACTGGGAGTTTTATTAGATTATGGATTTCTGTTGCTCTTCATTCCCTTTTTCCTTACAGGAGGTTACTAAATCTCCCTATTTCCCCCCTGATACAACACTTAAATCCATTGAGAACTATGGCCTTTTTCCTGGAATGTACAAGGTACTTCCCTGATGATGCTAAAGCAGAAATACTAAAGCCCAGTATAACTCTACCCAAATGAACCTGACTGGACAATTTTATCAAGACACACGAGTCTTTTTACATTTTCTTTCTTCATTTCTCATTTATGGGGGAATCAACAAAGCGTCAGACTTGTGGGAGGCAAGGAGTGAAGCACAAAATCAGCATGATCTCTGCTGGTCAGTAGCTGACTGAATACTGGGAGAAACAGGTGAGTGAAGGAGCAAATGCAGTGTTCTCCAGTGAGTTCTGTGATGGGGACATCCACAGCCTTACACTCCAGCTTCCTCCACAAACATCTCTTCTGCCAATTAACTAAGCCATGTTATCCTGTCATATTCCTTGGTTTTTGTAGGATCTATTTTTCTCCTAGCAATAAAATTTTCTTTTAGGATTCCCTTTCAATTCATCCTTGAAGTATGTTTAGTTAGCAAAAGTTCTCTCCTTAAATCTGCTTTTTACCACATCTTGACCTCCCACCTGTCCATCCAGTGTCCTGCTCTCCTCAGCTGTTCCTCACATGGCTCACTCTCTTCCCTGCCCAGCATGACCCCTTTGGTTAAAAAACCCCCAATTAAGCCTCCTTATCCTTGCAATGAGTTTTCTTGACTTTTTTCAAACATAAATATATTCAATTGTTCTTTTCATCTGCTACTTGCCCTGGGCTGCTGACAGTTAAGAACATATTGAAAGAAGGAATGAATAAATTATCATTTATTGATACAGGGCCTGTGGTGCTTATAGGACTTCGTGGAGTCTTTAACTGAGACTTTAACCCCTGTGTCACCAGCGAGGCCTCTGCTTTCTTGCAACATATTCTATATATCACTAGTCTGAGCCCTTCTCTTGGGTGGTGGTGGGGCAGGAACAGATGGCATGTCTTGTCATTTTTGAATCCCTAGGACTTCATGGAGTCCTATAAGCAGTGCTGGGCCCACTGACCCAATTCACTTTTACAGTTTTAGCCTCAGCAGGGTCATTGTCCTGCTCCACAATGCTGCTTCTGCTTTCCTGCAACATATTCTTTTTTTTTCCCAAAGATTTATTTTTATTTATTTATACTTACAAGAACTGGACTAAAGGCCAGAGGTGTGAGGGGTGAGAGGATTCACCAGAGACAGAGTGGGGAGCAGAACAGGCATAGATCTACTGAATACACTGCTGAGGGGAGCGGCATGCAAGGCAGGAAAGGTCTTCTGTGCCATTTGGGTTGCTCCCTGGCTGGGGATTAGGAATTGAACTCATGCAGCAGTGGCTGGCAATAGCTTGATAACACTGAGACTTTAACCTCTGTGTCACCAGCGAGGCCTCTGCTTTCCTACAACATATTCTATATATCACTAGTCTGAGTCCTTCTCTTAGGTGGTGGGGGCCGGGATTACTTTGGATTTTATAAATGCATTCTCTATGTCTATAAAGCAACTGGGAAAAGAGCAGATGGCATGTCTTGCCATTTTTGAATCCCTAATACTAAGGTCACTGTATGCTCAAAAATGTATATTGAATGTCAAATACTGGTCTTGAGAACCACAGAAGTTCTGGGGAAGAATGATGGGAGCAGACAGAGCAGAACCATATGAGCATCAGGACCAGCAGTGACTACAGTCTCATTATGACTTGCGAGCCCCAAGCACTCTAGCCTTTGTGGTCCCCTTTCTCCATGAAAATAGTAAAAATTATATTTTATAACCATATTGGTATAAAGACAAATATAATCCAGCTGGATTAAAAGGTAAGATATTTTCTTCTACCCTCAAATTTCATTTTTTCTTCTAATTTAAAAATTTAAAATATTAAAACATCTTCATGGAGTCCTACAAGCACTACAGGCCCTGTATCAATGTACTAACTGTGCCCAATGTGATGTTGAAGGAGCAAAATTGGTAAGTGTTCTTGAGAAGCAGGTGAAATTCCCAGCACCAAAGTTAGAGTGGGAACAGACATGGTTAACATATGCTGAAGAAGACAGTAAATTCTATTCCACTTCCCCTTTGAACAGTTTAGTTTTTTACTTTGGATTTTATAAACTCATTCTCTACGTCCATAAAGCAACTGGGAAAAGAGCCAGGGATGGATCCTAGAAGGAAAGGAGGATAAAGAAATATGTGACTACACCGGAGGAGAGAAATTCTATATTCTAAAGATGTAAAATTTAAAAAATGATGATCATGATAAAAAGATATGTGTGAGGAGAGGATGGAAAGTGGTGGACAATGAAGGCAGAGGAGACCAAATAATACACTGTGCCTGCCCTTTCTTCCTCTTACAAGACCTTTAGATAATATGAAGGGCAGCTAATGTGGACTGAAAATCCAGAATAACTTTTTCCATACAAAGTTCTCAGTTTAATTAAAAATAAAAATATTTCTTATTTGTTAAAGAAAAAAATAAGCTATACCTGTAGCACAAATTAAAAATAAGATCATTGACATAAATATGTATATGAGAAAACAGACCTACATGCCTATTTTATTTAATTATTTGTAAGGTGACATATATAACTGAAATTAAATGAAGACCATGTGGTAAAATGATTTGCCTAGAGGTCATCTACTCCCCACCTCTGTCATTCCAGTAGTGGAGAAGTATGTAAATCTGAGATGAAGAAAAAGTCACCCTTCTTTATATCTAAATAGTATAAATAATTAATGAAACTATGTACTCGAAGATAAACTACAGAAGTAGACAGAAAACTTCAAAAATTGGCAATAAATATTGAGAACAATAATCCATGAATTTTTGGTAACAAAACACCCACTCTTAAAAAGCAACCCTACTTTGAGGCAGTCATGAGTGACTGTCAGAAAGCCCAGGCTATTTTCACTGGATCCAGTAACATGGATCCAGCACATGTCCTTGGTGAACCCTGCAATGGCACAGGGAGCAAAAGGGGGGGGGGTGGAATGCTGGTTACCTGAAGAAAAAATGACCATACTTTTTAGACCTGTTTAGTATTGAGAATCTTTGAAGAGCCTCTGCTATTTCTAAACAAATCTTTTTCCTTTTCTCTCCAAATCCCTGTTTCCAATCCCAGTACCCACACCTTTCAAACCTGCACTCACCCACAATGTCTTCACCTCCGCAGGGCCTCATCATGGTGGTGAGAGTGAGGGCCCCCAGAATCAGAGCTCTGTATAGGACCATCATCTTCTCAAGGTGGTCTCAGCAGTTGCTGTTTTTGAGTTGTTGAACAATGGTGAGAATAAAGCTGAAGAGGAAATGTTCAAACCAAACAGCAGGTTCTGGCCAATCAGAAAAATCTCCTCTGGTGACACTTCTGTTGCCAGTTGAAGCCCTTGTTCTAAGGGACCTAAAAGAGCTTGGGGAATCCCCAGGTTCTGTAGCAGTCTGCTTCACCTCAGAGTGGACCTGAGGGGATTTTTATGAAAAGAGGGAGGATATTAACTCAGAATCTTGTCATATGTGTGTATGCCTGCTGGTGGCGAGACAGGCGAGGCTTTCTAAGCAGTCTCATGGATAGTGAGGTCATCACTATATGTCTTTCAGGATTTTCTGGGTTACAATCTTTAAGAATTTTACCCTGTGTTTATCACCCTCCCTGACAGTTTCCACGCATTTCCTTTCCCCTGGCCCCCATATGTGAACTGCTTTTCCTTTTACTTCTACAGAGAAAATGAGATTCTCGCAATTTGAGTTGACCCACTCACCAGGGAGTTGTCTGTGGGTGGTAACTGTAAGGTCAAGGCCTAGGCAGAGATGTGGTAGAAAAAGGAAAACTTGAAACTGCTGCCACCTGCTTCCCGGGAGCTGGCTCTGCCTGGTTTGTGTGGGCCCTGATAAGCAGCGTTGAAAGAACAACCAGTTCTGGGAGAAAAAACTTCTTTGAAAAGCAACTTCACTCCGCATTCTTCACCTCCCTCCAAGGCCAGACCCCACCTTATAAAAGCTTGCCCTTATCCCCCAATGGGCATGACTTCTCTGACCCCTGGGGCATGTGAACCTCAGTCCTGGGGCCCAATAAATTTCCTGCCTGTCAGAAACTTGGCTCTCCTTTTCTTTACGTGCTCATCCTTTAAGTAACCAAAGAATAATTTTTCCTTTTCTACTTAGAAAAACGCAGTTGAGTAAGTTTTCATGCTTTCAAAAGCCCTGGTTTTCACCAGAAAAAGAGAAAGATTTATAATATGTGATGTGATCTATAGTAACTGCTCTTTCATCTGATTTTCTACCCTCTTTTCTGAGTATTCTTTGTGTTCTGTTTAGGTGCTGTTTATCAACCTTTAAAGGAAATTTGGAGACATTATTATATTAAGGAAAATTCTGGCTCTCTGACTTTAATACTCTGATTTCCTTTCTAAATTTGAGAATGTCAAGTCAAATTTAGAGGGTGGGATGAGGGTAATTACTGTGCCTTAGAAATTGATTTTCTGCTACATATGCTTTTAAAGAAAATATCTATTAAATGATGACAGGAAGTGCCTGTATTTTTCTGTTATTCATATTTTAATGCTATTTAAAAAAAAAAAGATTTATTTATGCATAAACTGTGGCACAGGCCAGAGGTGTGGGAAGTGAGAGAATCACCAGAGACAGAGTGGGGAACAGAACAGGCAGACTGACTGAAATACTCTGCTGAGGGGAGCAGCGGGTGAGTCAGGAGAGGTCTGTCTCGCCATGTGGGTTGCTCCCGGGGGATCTAACTTGTACTGCAGGCTGCAGACAGCTTCACAGTGCTTTGCTTAACCACTTGCAGCACCAGGGAGGACCCCTATTTGTTATTCTTTATTTTTAATATTTTATTTTATATAATTCTTACATCATTTTTCATCTTTGCACAATGTATGCATTTTCATTATGGTTTTATTCCCCATACAATTGCACACCTCCCCCCTTTTTTACTCTAGTCCTTCCTCTCCCTGCCCATCCCTGTTTGTTATTCTTTTTTTTCCCCTAAATTTTAATTTCTTTTTTTTAATTTAATTTTTATATTCCCCCTACAATTGCAACCCCCTTATTTTGACCCCACCCCACTGTGTCTCTGGTTCATAGTTGTTTGTTGATTTTGATTTTTTCTATCTTGTAGTTACTCTTTTTCCTGGTCCCTTATTTAAGTTTTCTAGATTCCTGCTATGAGTGAGACCATCCGGTATTTTCCTTTTTCTTTCTGGCTTATTTTGCTGAGCATGATCCCTTCTAGCGCCATCCATGTTGCTGCAAATTGCATGTGTTTATCTTTTTTGATTGCTGAGTAAAATTCCATGGTGTATATGTACCACATCTTCTTGATCCAGTCATCTATTTTTGGGCATTTGGGCTGTTTCCAAAGCTTAGCTATTGTAAATAGTGCTGCTATAAACATAGGGGTGCAGGTGCTCTTTGGAATTATTGTTTCTGTGTCCTTTGGGTAAAACCCAGGAGTGGTATTGCTGGATCATATGGAAGCTCTATCTTTAGTAGGGTGAGGAATCTCCACAGAGCTTTCCATAGTGGGTTGGACCCATTTGCACTCCCACCAGCAGTGCAGGAAAGTTCCTTTTTCTCCACATCCTCACCAACATTTGTTGTTGCCCGTTTTTTTAGTATGTGCCATTCTCACTGGTGTGAGATGGTATCTCATTGTAGTTTTGATTTGCATTTCCCTGATTACAAGTGATGGTGAACATTTTTTCATATACCTGTTGGCCATTTGTATTTCCTCTTTGGAGAAGTGTCTTTTTAGTTCTTCTGCCCATTTTTTGACAGATTATTTGTTTTGTTTTTGTTGAGTCTCATGAGCTCTTTGCAGATACTTGTGATCAGTCCTTTATCATTAGTGTTGTATGCAAAAATGTTCTCCCAGTTTGTGGGGTTTCTCTTTGTTTTGGTTATTGTCTCTTTTGCTGTGCAGAAGCTCTTTAATTTGTTGTATTCCCAGCTGTTCATCTTTGCCTTCACTATCACTGCTTTGGATGTTGTGTCTGTAAAGATGTCTTTGAGGTGCATGTCATGTAGTGTTTTGCCTATATTTCCTTCTATATATTATATGGTGTCAGGTCTTATGTCTAGTTCTGTAATCCATTTTGAGTTGGTTTTTGTACGTGGTGTGAGGTAGTAGTCAAGTTTCATTCTTTTGCATGTGGCGACCCAGTTTTCCCAGCACCATTTGTTGAACAAACTTTCTTTGCTCCAGTACGTATTCTTTGCTCCTTTGTCAAAGATTACTTGACCATAAATCTGTGGGTTTATTTCTGGGTTTTCTATTCTGTTCCATTAGTCCGTGTGTCTCTTCTGGTTCCAGTACCATGCAGTTCTGATTATTATGGCTTTATAGTATAGTTTTAAATCTGGGAGAGTGATGCCTCCATTCCCCCCCTTTTTTTTTCAGGAGGGTTTTTGGCTATTTGGGGTTTTTTTGTGGCTCCATGTGAATTTCATCAATATTTTTTCTATTTCTTTGAAGACTGACATTGAAATTTTAGTTGGAATAGCATCAAATCTGTAGATTGCTTTTGGTAGGATGGCCATTTTGATAATATAATTTCTTCCCTCCATGAGTAGGGATATCTTTCCATTTCTTTGTGTCTACTTCTATTTCTTTTAACAGTGTTTTATAGTTTTCTTTGTATAAGTCCTTTACTTTTTTTGTTAGGTTTATTCCCAAGTATTTGATAGTTTTTTTGTTTCAATAATAAAAGGAATGGTTTTCTTGATTTCTTCTTCAGTTTTATTTGTTTGTGTACAGGAAGACTACTGATTTTTGTGCATTGATTTTGTATCCTGGCACTTGACTAAACTGATTGATTAGTTTAATTAGTTTTTCTGTGAAGTTTTTGAGGTTCTCTATGTATATTATCATGTCATTTGCAAATAGTGACAGTTTGACTTCTTCTTTGCCTATTTGGATTCCTTGTATGTCTTTCTCTTGTCTTATTGCTCTGGATAGGACTTCCAATATTATGTTGAAAAGCAATGGTGAGTGGACATCCTTGTCTTGTTCCAGATCTTAATGGAAATGCTTTCAGCTTTTCACCATTGAGAATGATATTGGCTGTGGGCTTATCATATATGGCCTTTATGATATTGAGGTATGTTCCTTGTATCCTGAGAATTTCAAGGGCATTTATCATAAATGTACTTTGTTGAATGCATTCTCAGCATCTATGCATATTATCATATGGTTTTTATATTGCTTTTTGTTGATGTGTTGGATTACATCGATTGATTTTCGAATGTTGAACCATCCTTGTGTCCCTGGAATAAATCCTACTTGGTCATGGTGAATTATCTTATGGATGCATTGTTGGATTCTGTTGGCAAGGATTTTGTTGAGGATTTTTGCATCAGTGTTCATTAGGGAGATTGGCCTATGACTTTCTTTTTTTTTGTGCTATCTTTGTTGGGTTTTGGTATTAGTGTAATGTTGGCTTCATAGAACATATATTCAATTTCCTTCCTTTTCAATTTTTTGAAAGAGTTTGTGTAGGATAGGCACTAATTCACTGCTGAACGTTTGGTAGAATTAATGCATGAAGTCGTCTGGGCCTGGGCTTTTGTTTTTGGGGAGTGCTTTGATTACTGCTTCATTTTTGCTACTTGTAATTGGTCTGTTAAGCTGTTCTATTTCTTCTTTGTCCAGCTTTGGATGATCATATCATTCTAGGAATTTGTCCATCTCTTCTAGGTTGTTGAATTTGTTTGCGTATAAGTGTTCATAGTAATCTCTGATTATTCTTTTGATTTCTACGGAGTCTGTTGTGATTTCTCCTCTTTCATTTATAATCCTATTTATATGTGTTCTCTCCCATTTTTCTTTCTGAGCCTGGCTAAAGGTTTGTCTATTTTGTATATTTTTTCAAAGAACCAACTTTGGTTTCATTGATCTTTTGGATTGTTTTTTTAATTTCCATTTCATTTATTTCTGCTTTGATTTTTATTATTTCCTTCTTCTACTGGCTTTAGGATTTTTTGTTGTTGTTGTTGTTCTTTTTCTAGTTCTTTGAGAGGTGAGATTAGGTTGTTTCTTTGAGTTCTTTCTCATTTGTTGATGTGAGCTTGTATTGCTATATGTTTCCCTCTTATTACTGCTTTTGCTGCATCCCATACATTCTGGAAAATGGTGTCCTCCTTGTTGTTCAACTCTAAGTATTTATTAATTTCTTCTTTGATATCCTCATTAGTCCAGTGGTCTTTGAGTAGTGTTGATTTCAATCTCCATGAAGTGGGAAGTTTCCTTGTTTTCTTTTCATGATTTATTTCTAGCTTGATGCCTTTATGATCAGAGAAGATAGTTGGAATGGTTTTGATTTTCATGTATCTGTTGACGTTTGTCTTTTGGCCCAGTATGTGATGGATTCTGGAGAATGATCCATGTGCACTTGAGAAAAATGTGAACTCGCATTTTTTTGGGTGCAGTGGCCTATAGAAGTCTGTTAAGTCCATGAGTTCTATGTCTTTATTTAGGGCTCTAGTGTCTTTGTTTATTTTATTTATTTATTTTTTTAAAAATAAATTTTATTTTTATATTCCCCATACATTTATAATCCCCTTATTTTGACCCCAATCCCTCCCCTCCCTGCTCTCCACCCCCCATAGAGTGTCTCTGGTTCATAGTTTTTTGTTGATTTTGATTTTCAC